TTATGCTGTTGGTGATACACATCTCTTCTTGGCTAACTATGGAAAAGCCATAATAAAAAATGAATATATTAAAGCTGTAGCCAAGTTGGTAACTGGCAGAGTAGACTTATGTGTAGGCCAAAATTTACATAAACACAAACCCTTAATTACATCTTGAACTCTTAGATTAACACAGTAATAAAGGAAAAAAAACAACTCCTCTTTCACTTGTATACAAACCACTGAATAAGCACAGGGAGGGATACTTAGTTAATGTTACTCATCTAAACTTTAAACTACTAAACGTATAGAAGCTTTGGAAATGCTGTAAGAAGTGATAATTTAGGTACTGTAAAATTGTATTATGTAGCAGAATTAGGTTCTTAAGCCTTTTGCTTTAGGAGAAAGTTCAGGCCTCCACCAGATCATCGCAAACTTTTATGTTTTGCCAACAGTGTCACACTATGACTGTCACAGTTTTGGGTGGTTCTGTCTGCCTGTTCTTACTTTTGGCAGCTAAAGCTCATGACTGTTGGGTGAATGCTGATGCAGTGTGGTCCTTGCAGGGATGTGTAAGTTGTGATACCGTATGAAGAAGTACTTTTGAACTCTTCTACTGGCAGCAAAGTGGCTGCCTTCAAATTAAAGCTCTTTAGTGATCTGTCAAGCTTTTCAATACAGTAATTGAGGTAATTTGACTTAAACAAAAAAATAGTTAATGTCTTTCTAATCTATAAATGTGTTTCTTATTTAGGAATTGCTTAAAGCCTTTTAAAAAACTTTATGGGCCTTCATCTGTCCTAGTTGGGTGGAGGGAGTGGGACAGGAGAGCTGAATTGCTCTGCTTCTGATAAAGTAACTCTAAGTTTAGATTTAGCTATTATAGAAATGAAACTTAAAAGATTGCTTAAAGATTGAAGATCAGATCTGCACAATAAGAGCATGTGGGCATAAAAATATTAATATCAGTCAGGTGCTATCTTTTAATCAAGTCTTCCAGCAAGAATTGTTGCATTCCTTAGGTTACATTGACAAAGTTTGCTGAAGTGGCGCTTCTGTTTTATGGTTTTGTAATCTGTAGTTTACGGTGCAACTTCTAAAAGGAAGGTGTAGGGGTTTTTTTCAAGACTACCTGGAGTTAAGGAAAGTGGTCTGAATTCGTATATCTGTCTTAGAGCAGTTTCAGTCCTGTGACAAAATGGAAGAAATATGGGAATATTAAACCATTATGGTTGTCTAACTTAGGTATTTACAGTTCTCTTCAGAGACATACTCCTGAATCTAGAAAATGCTGACTTTCTTGTTACTTGAAAGTTGAAAAGTGTTGTTTTTTGTTGATGTGTCCCTGAGAATTTTCCAAAAACCTGATATATATTTATTTTTTTTTAATATCGGTATTTATGCATGCTGTTCTCTGAAGAGCTGTATGGTTTTGTAGATGATGTGCCAGTATTTTAGATGAGCCGTGGAAGAGAAATCCCCAGTACTCTTCTAGGCAGTAAGATTTCCACAGCTCTTCCAGGCTGCTTGAAAACCCCTATGGTACTCTTCTGGTTTAAAGCTGATAGATTCCCCCCCCTGCCCCACATGATGTTAACATGTTTCTGAATTCCGTTCTAGAAATAACACCACAGTTTCACTTGCAGTTGAAATGCTTCCTCTGGATAAATGGCAAAATTCTTGGAGTTGTAAAGTGTTTATAAAAGTAGTGCAATAAGAAAATGAGCTTCAGTTGCCCTGCACGTTTCATTCCAGTTTTTGCTACCAACATCTATATTACAGTTGTCCAGCTGTCAGTCTCTCAGGTGCATGTGCTCCTTTATACTTCCAGATGTGTGGTGTTGATAGCCTTTTCCTCCTTTGCTGCCAGCTGTAACAGATCCATACAGTTGTTTGTCTGCAGATATTCCTACTGCAGACTTAAAGACTCGTATTAGAGAAAGGACATTTTCTTTTTTTTGCTATGCATCTCAATTGCTAGATTTCAAATGTGATGCTAGCTTTATTATTACTAGTTGTAAAATAATAATTTAAAAAATTGCCCTGAGTAGCCTTATTAAATAGTCTTTTTAAACTTAGGTTTTTACAGTACTGTCTTGGGAAAATCTAGTTTTGGCCTGTAAAATGCAATGAGATTTTTTTTTTCCACTGTTTGTTCTTAGTTTAGTATTTTAGAGAAGTTTCATTTGCCTAAGCATTGGGCAACTGTGGCTTGTGTGTTTGTGCATTCAGGACTATTTTGAAACCAAAGATCACAATTGTGCTGAGTGCCCTCAGTGAAATTTGGCTTCAGGGGAGCCAGTATGTGTCGCCTTCAGCGCTGAAGTGTCTGAAGTGCGTGGGACTTGCAGCTCACTTGGGTCCTCTAAACTCAAGCAGAGCTTGAATTAGACTCTGAGTAGCCCTACATGTGTGAAATATTTCCTTTTGGTTCCTTTTAAAATGGTCAGGCTCACATCTTACAGAAGCAAGTAGCACGTACTGGAAAACCTTACTAGCACTTTTACAGAATTACTGGGACTGCACTTTTCAATCCCATGGAATCACACTTGTGGAATGAAATGTTAACGTATGAGCTTCTCAAATGCACCAGAGGTCTATTGGCTTCCACTCCGTTACTGTCACGTGACGGAAGACTCCTTTTAGGCTTGTGTACCAAAACAGAAGGCAGTCGCTCCCTTCTGAAGGGAGACATCTGGATGGCTTTTTGTGGTGGTAAACATTTATGATGGCATGATAAGCCAAAGCATTTTTTATGGATGTGTGGCTTAAGGAGAGGTGATCAGTTACAGCATTGGATATAGTTGCTAGCAGTAGGATTTCTGTCACATTTTGCCTGAGCAGCACTATAAGAACACATTTGGTATCAGTCTTAGACATAAGTATATGCAAGGGATCTCTCAGGTGTTCAGCATCTTAGGGTCAACTGGAACATCTGCTGGTAGACCTTAGCTTGAGGGAAGGTGACAAGATTGAAATCTCTGTGGAGAGTGCTGGCAAAATATGAATGAATTAGTAGGGCTAATTTGACTTCAGAGCAGAAAGTTTTTTGTTTTTAACCTGGATCTTCCAGTTTCATCTGGCATTTAATAAGCACTCTTAATATTGAAAAATCTTCAGTGGAAAATTTGACTTGCTTAGTGGTCATGTGAAGGAAAAGGAATTTGTGCAGAAATAATATTTTTTGATAGGCTGTGTGGTCTTTGACCTCAGCAGATCAATGGAATTTCTGTAACATTTCTGTACTGGTTACAGGCACTCCAGTTAAGTGAGAAATAGTGAGTGAGATCGAACAGCAGTGTCTTTATAGTGCTTGCTTATAAACTGATTAGTTTTGGGAAGACTTACTTCCCTTAATGTGTTTTGAGAGAATTACTTAGCAATGTCATAACAAAGTTCTCATTCAGTAGATGAGGCTGTTGAGTTAAAATTCAAGTTTTCTTTATGTATAAATTCTGGAATTGGGACTTGGTGGTTTTGTGTGTTGCTAAGCAGGGTGAAAGTTTTCATCCCAACTTGCATGTTTTGTACATATTTGGAAACAAAGGACACCAGAATGAAATTAGTAACTTAGAAGAATTTGCATTTTATAGCTTTCTACCTTGACAAGATACTATCTAAAACTCTTTACTCTGTTAAAATTACTCTGGTTATTAAATTATTCTAAACAGTTATCCTTAATGAAGGACTTTATATTCTTAATAAAAAGATCTTTAATTAAGATACATCTGTGATATATTCTATGCACTAGAACAGATACAAATTCTAAGTGCAATACTTCTATGAAGTATTTTGTCCTAAACTATTGATGTGCGATCTCTAAGTTCATGTTTAAATTGCTTATGACAATGTAGTCTGTCCTCTGCGTACTGCTAGTAAGGCAGATAAGTTGGGCCATTGCAGTGGTGCTGACACCTCGGTATTCAGTTGTTGCTCGACTTCCCAAGCACCTGCCCTGCTTCAAGTGCTTGCACAGACAAATCACGTAAACAGCAATGCTGCTCTGCAACCAACAGGCTGCTCACAGGCTTGGCTTAAATCAGAGGCCACAAAGGAAGCTTTTCAAATTACATGTTTAATTTCCTGGGCTTGCCCAGTCCTTAAGGTGTACTTTGATCACACCTGAGCCAAATTTAGCTCAGAGAATAAATGTCTAATGTGTATGTCCTGGGGGGCTTAGAGTAGTCGTGGATTTGGTTCTTTGCTCTCTTCTCAGCGGTTGCCTTCACTAGCATTCTCAGGCAGGCTTTTTTCCCATGTATCTGCTGGAGCCTGTTCTGGTTTTGTACTGATACTCAGGCAGAGACTTGAAGCTCTCGATCTCTAACCTCCCAAGTTAATGTTCTACTATTGAGTTTATAATCAGTCTTGGACACAAAGAGCTTTTTGTGTACAACAGCCTGAGACCTGCCATGATCCACCACAAAATGCTCTGTAGGTTGTCGACTAGGTTATTTTAGCTAAGTGGAAAGGTGTGTAGATGCAAATTCTTGCTCTTAATTCTTACAGAGAAGAGGCTTATTACAGGTTTGTAGCATCTCATTTGCTGTCATATGTGTCGGTACATGGGCTTAGATCAGAGTTGCAGGGTGCTTGCTGCCTGTTGATCTCATGAGGTATAGATGTCTCAGGTTTTCCTTGCTTCTCTGATTTTCTTTTTTTTTTTTTTTTTTTTAGATTGAGTGGCTTCAGGCATTGAGCATCCAGAAGGTCTACAATGACTTTCGGACACTAATTTGGGCATAGAGTTTCTACTGGAGCAGGTTATTTATTAATGAGATTTTGGGACTTCATGAAATTATTGAAATGCCTTGGAAGTTAGTACTTGGAGTCTTTCAGTAAAATGCAGTGAATTTGGGCAAGGAATGTAAAATAGCTCAATTATTCCTTAAAGAACGGAGGTTAATGCTTCCAGTATGAATTCTTAATGTAAAAACACAAAATAACATGATGGTCCTCTTTGAGCATGAAACTCATTGTAATGCTTTGATTTTTTTTTGTTGTTGTTAATTTAGATCTAATACAGTGCACAAATGAAATGAATGTAAATATTCCGCAGTTGGCAGACACCCTCTTTGAGAGAACTGCAAACAGTAGCTGGGTTGTAGTGTTCAAAGCTCTAATTACAACACACCACCTCATGATGTATGGAAACGAGGTAAGACATGATTAGTTCTATTAAAGCCTCCTTGACAGTGTTTTAAAAAATTGTCTCAATCTGTGAGGCACTGGATATGTACTTCAGTTTTTCAAAGGTCTATGTCTGTCCTCTGTTCATGGCTGTAAATACTTTTCCAGGAAGAAAATATTCCTTGGTTATTTCAATACCGAAACATATCAGTGTTTGCAAATTACCTGCGGGTATCTGAGTTGGGCTGTGAGGGAATAATGCGTGACCTTTCTAGAATAAAGACTTGAAAAACTTCTGATGAGCTTTACTTCATTAGGCTAGTGCTTATCAGTAAGAGCGCAGCAAAAGAGTCTTGTTAGCACTCCATAAATGTACACCCAACTTATTAACAGATAAGAATGCTTACTAAAGGGGGGAGGAGTATGGTGAGTAGAATATTTGATCTTGCAAACCATCATCTAATGGGCTAAATCTTCCTATATTCTTGCTATTAACATTCCTCCGAAACAGATTTCTGTTGCATTTTCTTCCCTTAAATTATTCCATTGCTATTTATGAAAAGCTTCCCAGACAATAACATGGCATTAGAAATGTAACCTCTCTTGTGCAGTCCTTCCATTAAAAACTAAATTTTGTCTTGGTCAGGTGACAATTCAGTCCTGAACTTGTGTGTAGTCACTCTTGTAATAAATGAATGTTGAATACTGGTAATACTGAGACGATGATTCTTAAAGGTACTGCTTCCAGCCATTGAACTGCTCTGAAAACTTGGTGTTACCTCCTCTCTCCAAAGCTCTGTGAACGTAATTGAAATGACTTGTAAAATGTAGTGTGCTCTTTGTTAACACTTCCTCAAGTAATTTATGTTAAATTGTAGTTTCAACAGATAATAGGCTGGAATTAGAGGATAATAAGAAGTAAAATTCACTGCTTGGAATTCACTACTTATTCCAAGTATAAAGCTAAACTGAATGCTGTAAATAAGTTTGTATATTCTCTGTTTTTCCAATACAGTTCGTATCTACACACTGCAACTTGAAAGAAAAAAAAAAAGCAGACAACCGAATCATAGAAAAAAATCAAAACTTAGAATTGTGGGCTACCAGTCAGTACCTGTTTGCCCAAACAGTGTTTTGTAGTGGCAGAAAAGTTGAATTTTCATGTCTGTACCAAAACTACTACTCAGCTTTGAATGGGTGCGTTTAAGACTTGAAAAAAAAGTTCCCTCATGCCTGCTGAGATAATGTGACTGGAACACTAGTTCTGTAATTTCAGGTGAAACATGAATGTACTCATCACTCTTCTAATACATTAAAAGAAGCCTCTTTCTTAAACAGAATAGTATCAGATGCTGGACTTCTTTTGTAAGTACAAGCATATTAGAGCAGAAGATCAAAATGTTGTCCGAACAATCACAGTTTTGCAGTTTCTTGTTCAACACTGTTTCTTGTGATGAAGTTTTGGGTGAAACAGGCTAAAACTCCTCTCACTTGTGCATTGTGCAATGCAAGACCCCTGACATCTGGAGACTGACAGTTAGCCATGGCCCTTGTAAAAGAGATTTTAGCTACAGAACAGTAGCTAGCTTTGCAATGTGTAGAGACACCTTTTGAATATCACTGTTCTATTCCTGATTGTGTACCAACTGTTTTTCTTCTTCTGTATCTCTTTGAATACAGTACTAAGATGTACAAAGACCAGATAAACAGAATAAGAAGTTAAGAGTGCCAGACCTGTTGTTAAGGAAGCTACATGTTGTAGACTTGTGTGAACTCGGTAGCTATAGGCTGAGAAAACATATGGAGTTGCTGATGAGGTGGTACGTGACAAGTTGGGGAATCATTTTAGCCCCTTGGAAGGTGAAAGTACTGCTTTCTGTTAAAATCATATTTGTAAGAAGAATTTTGTTGTTGCTGTGCTAGGGCCTCATTACAATTACCAAAGAGCAGGTGCTATACTGAGCCTGGCCAAAAAAATGCTAGTTTTTGAGGAGCGTGGTAGTCCAAACCTGGCAAATAGGTGGGTTTCCACTGTGAAGGGTGAAGGATCACACTGTGTATGTTGTGGCAGCAGAGGGGTTCAGATCAAAGATATAACAAGTCCATTAAGCCTTACCGATTGTAATCCTCTTTATGAACTAATACACATACAAAGAAGCAAGAAAGACAAGAAATTGCAATCATGGGAGATCTGTGTGGAGCAGTGGCAGAGCAACTTTTGAAACTACCTTGCTATCTGGATGTGTTTATCTCTAACTCTTGCATTATTTATGGAGCTAGCTGCTACTTGTCAAAACTTAAATACTGTTTAGACAGATCACTGCATTATAATATATGCATATTAAAAATACAGATACTACATATGTGATTAGAAGCCTAGTGCTGCTGCTGTCTAAAGTTCCAGAAGCGTTATTGTTACTAATTACTTTTAAACTTTGTAACTAATCGTGTTTCCCACTTCTACAGCAGCAGTAGAGCTATGCAGACCTTGGGAGCTTTGATAAGGAGAGTGGTATTTTTGTTTTGTGTTTTCCAGTTTGTCTGTTCTGAACTACAAAGTTAACCTAAGCACCTTCCTGTAGCATTACTAGCCTTTCATTCACAGGCAGTGATGTCTTCTTATTTAGTTTAAATTTATGTTTTTGCCAAATATCATTTTGGATTTCAGAGACTTTGCTAATTAGTAGTTTCATGTTTTCCTTTAAATTTTTCCCTTTTAACTAATTACTATTGTTGATAGAGTTTACTAGAAGCAGTTACAAGGTAAGTGTAGTTTTCTTGTAATATGCTTAAATGTTTTGACTCTCACAATGATGATATTCTCAACTTTTTGTTCACCAATAGCGCTTTATCCAGTATCTTGCATCCCGAAACACTTTGTTCAATTTAAATAACTACCTGGACAAAAGTGCCATGCAGGGTAAGGATCTTTCACTGGAGGAAATAACTGTACTGCTTTTTTGCTCTGTGATAGTGCCTGTGTCAGTGTACTCTAGGAGACAAATGACACTTAAACGAAAGGGTGTTATGATTTATATTACACGAGGCACCAAAGAATGTCCAACCAAGAAAGTAGACACAAGGAAAGTGAGGTTCTGAGTTACCTAGCTGAGTGCTAGAAATTTGTCAGTAATGTATCTATCATGAGCATACACAGCTGTAAACTTTAAGAAGTTCACTCTTAACACTGACTGGAATAAATCTGAAGAATATTAGCACCATGATCTGCTTTTACTGTTACATTTTAATGTCTCAGAAATAAATGTTTACTGTTAAGGTACATGGAATGATGTAACTAGGATGTGCTGTATAAATAGTGAGAACTCCTTCAAATCTCTAAGAAGTCTTTAAATTACCTGCCAGTGGTAGAAAACATTTTTGGGTCTTTACGTGGTTTTTAAGGCATTGCAGATAAGTTATCAAAGTCTTCAGCATTTTACTAGGAATATGGTTTTAGTCTAAGTTCAAGAATATCTTAGTAAAAGCTGCTTGGTCTTGCCTAATATTTTAATGTGTTTAGGTGTTTAGGAAAGCATTCATTGCAATTATAAGAATAATCTCAGAAAGTTGGGAAGAAACTGTAACGTTACATCTCAAGGTGAAAAATAGTGAACCTCAGGACTCTGGAAAGTGCCTCTGAAGGGCTTTTTATGGAAGTTGATGTAAAATGGGCTAGTAGGAGAATAGTTCTTGAAAAGAACTCAAAAGAAACTGTAGCCCTTCAAAATGTCTAACTTATAAATGCTTGACTTTTAGGCTATGATATGTCTACCTTCATTAGGCGATATAGCAGATACTTGAATGAAAAAGCACTTTCATATAGACTTGTAGCAGTTGACTTCACCAAAATGAAAAGAGGGTAAGACTGTTACTGCTTCTTTTGTTTGGCCTTTCATACTGGGGGCGGGGGGGGATGATGCCAGTTGTTCTTGAGCTTATCCTAGATTGGGGTTCCTTTTGGCCCGTTGAAGTAATGTAGTATTGTTGAAACAGCACAATATACTGAGGTCTCTAGGTAACTTGCCAACGTGCGCCTTCTACTCTGTAGGATAGATGGAGTGATGAGAACCATGAATGCTGAAAAGCTTCTGAAAACCCTTCCAATCATACAGAACCAGCTTGATGCACTCCTTGATTTTGATGTAAGTACTTTAAGCTCAGTGTTAGGTAACGCACTCTCATTTTGAAGTGAGAATTTTGTTATTTTATTAAATACTAATTTACTTTTTCGTTGCTTTCTACACAGGCAAATCCAAATGAACTAACAAATGGTGTTATAAATGCTGCCTTTATGCTCCTCTTTAAAGATTCCATTAGACTTTTTGCAGCATACAATGAGGGGATTATTAATCTTTTAGGTATGTGAGACTTTTTTTAGCTGTTGAATTTTTGTGAAAGTTATTCAGAGAACTAAAGAATATAGACAATTGCTGACTGCAGTTTCCTAATAAACTGTCTCTGTTCATTACCATTAAATTAATCCTGTCTTGAATTTTGGTGGCAACGAGCATAGGCTTAAACATATGCTTCTACCTTGAAGAATACACCTTGAAACAGAAATTGAGATGAGAGGGTGGCTGATGAGACTAAAACAAAGATACCGTAAATGTGCAGTGGAGAACCTTTGACAATTGAACTGTAAAAGTATTAGCAAGATGCCAGGTATTTAGAGTATTTAGTATAGCTGTGGTATGACTGACTTCTGGTTCCCCATACTTTCTTTGTACCTTGACTATTCACTTTCACCTGGTACCTGAATCTACATGAGCCTAGTAGATGACATGTACTGTTTTTTGTTGAAGAGTGAGCCGCTCTTAGCAAAGCCTTACAGTGATGATTCAGTCAAACTTCTGAATGAAAACATCTGATCAGTTTATTCTGTTAATCCGTTGGTTTTTACTCATTGAAATATCTGTGAATAGCGCAAAACTGTAAAAAGTGAAGGACACGTTTGAAACTCCTTTTGGTAGGTCAGTTCAGTATATGTACCACTTCAGTAGCCATTCTGATGTGTTTTGGCTATTGAGCCCACTTACAAACATCAAAACGTAACATACAGGGTCTAAAAATGTAAATATGTACCAGGAATATTTTCAAATGCTAAAATAATTTGCCTCATTGCCAGCTAATAAGCTGACTTCTTGAAAATATTCCCCTGCATACCTAATTTAACAATTGCAGTAGTTCACATCTGTGCTTAATAAAGCTTTGTATTATATTCTAATGTACTGAAATAGAAAAATCAGTGTTTTTCTATTGACTGACGTATTACAAAAGGTGTTAGGCATTCATGTAAACTTTAAAATCTGAATAGGTTTGAACTACTTCTGTCTGTTCTCTCCTTGAAGCTTGTGTTGAAATAACTTTTATAATACTATGTCAGCTTTTTGCTGAGGAGGCTGTTATCTTACAAGAGTTTTGTTTGCATCCTCAGAAAGATATTTTGATATGAAGAAGAACCAGTGCAAAGAAGGCTTGGATATTTACAAAAAATTTCTAGCCAGAATGACCAAATTGTCAGAATTCCTCAAAGTAGCAGAGGTAAATAAATCTACGTCTGTAGAAAGGGTATCATTTAGCTGTCTGTGCTGGTACAGTAGTCTGTATTCATAATAACAACTTCACAAACAGATCAATGTTTGCTTAACTTCGCTATGCAAGGAGGTATTCTACAGATTAGGGATTTTAAAGATTGTATATGCTCATTAACATGAAGTGAGATTCTTGGGTATCCTTTTTATTAGCCAGACAACATAGTAAACTTTCGGAAGCGTCGTTACAAATTTCATGAATGGTCCAGAATGTATGAACTGAATGCTGCGGTGCTCTCCTTTACTGTAACTGCTCAAAATGGAGAATGTGGGTGTTTCTAATGATCCCTGTCATCTTTTTTGTGTTAAAAAGTTAGGCTGGATGAAAAGTTGGGTTTGCTTTGAGATGCATTTAATGCATGTGTAATTTCTAGTGTGTGTTCCCAGTGAAACTTGCACCAGTTCAGAAAGTTACAAATATCCCTTTGTAATATGTTAGTTTCTGTGTAACATTTGGACATCACTTTTTTATTTTCATTGCAGCTGCATGTAGTAATGTACCTTTTTCTTTTTTTTCTTTTTTTTGTAAACCTAGCAAGTTGGAATTGATCAGGGTGACATTCCAGATCTTACTCAGGTCAGTGTACATATTGATTAACTAATTATTTTTTCCTTTGCTTTTTTAAAGGTTGGTGTGTATCATAATGATCATTCATCTTGAGAATGTGTTCTCTTCTATGTGTTTGTATATGGCAAATATATATGGTGACTTTTCCCATGGATTGAATGTATTCACTACCTGCACTTCGCAGCTCATAACAAAATTTTGTTTTATTGTTTTAAGGTAATAAAACTCAAAAATCTTTTTCAAGAACTTCTGGGTTTTATCAGAGGGATTCACAGGCATGTAAGCAACGAGCATCTTGCCATGCCTTGAGGAAAACCTTCCATTTCACTATAACAGTGTGTTCCAACACACTTAAAGACTACAGTTAGCTAGTTCAGTCAACAGATTTTTTGTTTTCCCTGAGTTCTGAAGAGATTTGATGTTTCTGTATCAGCACTTAATGCTGGCTTTGATATTACTCAGCAGTATGAGGGACATGAGCAATACAGATTGTGTGCTGGAAGATGTAGTTTAAAGGGTGGAATGCAGGGGAACACCTTCTAGTGAGGATAAATTGAGGGGCAGAAAGAAGGTGGGAAAGGTGGTTTGACCTGGGGAACAGGAGACACTGATAGCCCACAGAAGGGCACAAAGTTATTCTTTGCAAGTTCCTTCAGTTCATAGGGACATTGTATTTCTAACCTAGGACCAGCCCAACAGGACAGGGGTGTTTGGTATTCTTTCTGTAGCACAGAGTAACCTGATAGGTGAGATAAACGACAATTTGTCAGGAGACTAGGGCAATAAACCAAAGTGCCTTCAAGGTCGAGACTACTTAAGCTCTTGAAGTGGAGTCAGTGTGAAACAGTTAAAAATCTAATGAGTAATCTTTGAACAGTCACATCTAATCACATCTAATAATTAAATTTCATGGGTTAGTTGTGTAAAAATACATCTACTGTGAAAATTTGCCTAACCTTCATCTGTGTCTTTTTAATATGGAAATCAAATCTAAACCACAAACTTACATTGTCAGTGTTTTTTTTTTTTACTGCCTACAGTATGATTTCCATCTGAAATCATACATGTTTTGAAGTACAGATCTCTAATACTTGCTCCTAGCAATTAACATTAACCCCTTTAAGAATTTCTAGGCCTTCGTGGTTTGGAAAGAAATACAGCTGTAGCCAGCAGGGTAAGAGCAGATAATGAGTGAAAACAGGAGTTTGATGTTTTCTGTTGGTACTTGATCTTAGCATCTTACTCTTTTAGTTAGTACTGCAATATTCAACTGGTCTGTATTATACTAATCAAATGGTACTCGAGCCTGAAGTTATACTTCACTGGGTTTGTGTGCACTTGTCCAGTTAAGGTTATTAAAAGGCTCTTCAAAGCAGTGTTTTTTGGTTTTTGTGAGAGTAGAGGATTTAACCGACCCTTCTGTGATTCTGTAACTTCATTTTGCTGCTTTTTATATCTGAAACTTTCAGTGAGCAAGACCCTTTATATCTACTGTTCTAGCAATGTTTTTTTTCTAATAGCTCAGCTATTTTGTTGTAAGTGCACTCAGACGTGAAAGGCAACTCTCTGAACTGTGGTGGTAGGTGTCAGCATCCCATGAATTTGGCAATTTCACTCCCACTGTTAAGCATTCCACTTCCATAGTAAATTTCATGGCTTTTAATAAGAGTTGAATAATTGTACATCCATTTAGTGCCACATTAAAAGAAACTTGCTAAAATGTCTTGATACGAGGCTTTCACAATAATTTGATTTTCAGTGTGCTTATGTTTCTGAAATAAGTTCTGACAGGATCATTTTGTTTCTATTCTGGTCTACCATATTGAATTTTTTTTTTAAGTACTTTGTGTTTTTGCTGTATATTCTCTTCTAGGATATGTATATTTCAGAGTTTCTTTAAGCTATTCCTGACAACAATTGTTTTATCTCTTTTAGAGGTTTATTATTCTTGCTACTGTATAAGTGTCTGTCTGCCTTGATTCTAATGTTTGCACTACTGCTGCTTTGGCCAGTTCCTATAAAGAAAATATTTCCCTTTGTAGGTGCTGTGTTTCACAATGATGTTGCTTACTTTCTGTTTATAGTTGTTAGTGTATTTCATGAATGCAACTGGGTCATTTTCCTCTGCATGGATGTTAGTCTGTCGGGTGTCGTGGGAGGGTCAGGGGGAGGCTGAGTCACAAAATACAGCCTTTCTCAAGTTGTAATGTCTGTGTTAGCCCAGGCATGTTTTCTGACACAAAACTACTAAAATCTGTTGGCTCACAATGTCACCTCTGATGTTTTGTTGGATGTCTGCAGCGATAAGAAAGTTCAGAGAAGTTACTGGTTTGTTGGTTTTATGGTTGAGGGGGTTGTTTAGAGGGTTTTAGAAACAATGAGTGTAGAATATGCTTTTCCGTACAGATAAGTCTGAGTGGCCTTAGAAAAAAAAATGAAGGCTAGGAAAAACTTTCTGGAGTTTCAAGTGTAGTCTCCTGCTATTAAGATTACCTACCTAGCTGTGTTATGTAATGACTTTTTCAAACTATTGTTCCTCCTGTAAAGTCAAAGTATGGGGAGGTTTTGGGTTGTGTTTTTCTTTTTTTGTCCCTGATACCTTTGCGGAAAGGTATTTCAAAATGTTGCCCCTTGAGGTTTAGCTGTCTAGTTTGAACGCTGAATTTACTCATGACCAGCTGATGGGGTAACTACACTGTCTTAGCTTACCTAGCTCTAATTATAGAAAGGAATATCAACCCAGGCCTTAACTTTAAGCCAAGCAGTTTTATAGGATTAGTCTGATTGCTTTTCTTTGCATCTCTTGTAGCTTGAATTGGCCTTCTCTGAATGTGGGAAGCTAGAGTTGTGCTCAGTATTTCAGAGGGAAGCTTGCCAAAGCCTTGAGTGATTAATATTGTTTCCTCTTTCCAGGAAATACTTTGGTCTAGCTTTTGGTGCAGAAAGGGCTAGCAAGGGCAAGCTTGTTTTTCTTCCAAAGAATGCCTGTCATATCTGTTCTGCCTATGGAAAGTTGGCGAGTTGTAAGAGAGGCTTAATGTCTCTGAAACCCTGCCAGATGAGGAGGACTGAGCTGGCAAATGGATTGAAACTTGGGGTCTATTCCCTTCATCTGAATCTACAGTAGGATTTATTTCACTCGTTTTATGGAGTATGGACTATGTAGTTAAAAGCCACAAGAGCAGTGTGGCTAGAATAGCAAGGCAGCGAACTCTTGCAAAAGTGCCAGCCTAATAATTTTGCTTGCTGGATGTTGTCTTCGTAGGGTGATTTGGAGAAATCTTGCTTCCTACTAAGACTGTGTAATCGAGAGGAGTTCAAATTTATTTTGAACTTTGAAGCTGTTTCCTTTGGTGTGGAAGAAATATCTCTGTAGTGGTTACAAGTGTATGTCAGAAAGAAAAGCAGGTTAGGATTGACGCTTTTTTGTTATTTTCTGTAGGAACCAAAACAGCTCTGATGTGCCTTAGTCTGTATATTTTGAACTTGCTTTTTTCTGTTACCTGTCAGTTAAAATCTGTGTCTCGAGTACTGAAAAAGGACATGGCTGTGCTCTCCAAAGTCTTAGTAAGCTTATGAGTATTGGTCACCTAAAACATTTAGGTGTCTCAAATCTTACCTGAAGTGTCTAGTGCCTGACTTACTGCTGGATTTAAGTGGTGAGAAGCCTGCTCTTTGAAGTTGTCTTCATTGCTTTAAGAAACAACATTTTAAAACTACTTCTGGGTAATGCTTTTCTGGTGCAGGGAAGTGAAAATGCACCAAAACCCAACTGTATTTGAAGTGATGTTGCTCGATCCCAATATTTTAGGCTAGCAAAGGTTTTTGGGTAATCAAGTTGGTTTATTGTGTAGTCACGTGTTGAATAGCTACTCAGTCTACAATGGTATTGTTGGGATCAGGTTGAATTTGATTGCTTTTTTAATCAAACCTAACATTCTGCTGTAGTCAGGTGTTTCTAATGCAAGCCTTTGACTGGAAATATTTGAGTGGAAAGTGAGTGGTTTCTTGTTACAGGGGAAAGAGGATCAAAAATACAAAGGCTTCTGCGAGTTTAAGGGAGTAGTGCTTAATCAGCTGTAGTTACTGAATTGACCTTAACATAGCAAATACTCTTGCCAAAAATAAGAAGGCAGCTTGCGTACACAGAAGCAGGTCTCTGTGGTGCCGCTCCTTTTAAAGAACCACAGCTGGGTGGATAGAATCCAAGTGCACAGGATGGCAGCAAAACCCAAAGGCACAGTTATTGGGGTGTGGGGTTTTGTTGGTTTTAGTGGATGAGGAAACTAATCGGTGTGCTAAACAACCACATGTTGTCTAGAAGCAGTGTTTTATAAATACTTTTGACTTTAGGCACCCAGCAGCTTGCTTGAAGCACTGGAACAGCATTTGGCTTCTGTGGAGGGAAAGAAAACAAAAGAAGTCTCTGCTGCCAGCAGGTGAGTGCCCAATGCATTACAATGATGCCTGTACGTAGGATTTGTCACCTTCATAGTAAGAATTTTCAGGATTCAGTCATTTGGTGTTCTCCTTGAATTTTATTCGCTTCCAGATATATCTTCCTAGAAGTATAAATGAAGCAACTGGTGAGTAGTAGTCTGGTAGCTTAGTCACATTTGAGATGTAGGTGCGTCTGCCTGTGTCTGACAGACTTCTTATTATGCTGTAATAAAGCACTGAGCTGAGACTTTGTGTATTAATCGTTTTAGCTTTTACTTGTTTGAAGTCCTTTGACTCATAAGACTGCTAAGGTATTTGAGTTTTGAGGCTCTTTTTGACCAAAATAGGATGGACTTTATTGTCAATTATCTGTCTGTCAGACCATGAATTATCTTAACCTGCTTATAAAAGCTCTTCAGTCCCTTCTTAGAAGAGCCAAATTAGCTTAAATGCTTTGGGCTGACAGGAATTGTGTTATTCTTTCTGTCAAGTATGGTGTCAATATGTATGAACACCACTTCTGACTGAAGAGAGATCGATCCCTTTTGGCATAGGCATTCTTGCCCAGAAACTTGATACATATTGATAAGTGTGTCAGTGTAAGCTACATTCCTGAGTTGCTATCTTGCCTCTCGGATATTTTTTTTTCTTTGCAAGTATCTGAGGATTCACCACCACAGTATTCTGCTAAAAAGTATACCATATAGAGAATAACTTATGTGCTTTGTTTACTGTTGTATGTATAATAGGTACAAACAAGCTTTCTGTGCCTCTGCCACTTGAATGGACTAGAACTGCAGTCTAGTCTGTATGACCTTAAAGAAAAAAGACAGCTGCTGTGTTCAGCACTTTGCAGTGCCTACCTGCTGAAACATGGGGGAGTAATCCTGTGTGTTCATGCCCCTTTTTCACCAAACTCCCTTGTTACTGGGATGTCTGCTTTTCTGTACCAGAGAATACAGGAAGAAAAGACTGGGGTGGAGGGGGAATGACACACTAGGTAAAACACTTGATTAAACTGTAAGTGATATGTACCTGACTGTTTTTCTTAATAAAACCTTTTTTAATTATTACTGTTTTTAGAGCTAGTGCCCTATCCAGTGCTGTTTCCACACTTGCCAATACAGGAATGTCATTTAGCAGGATGGATGAGAAAGAAAAGCAGCAGGCATTGGAGGAGGAACAAGCTAGACTACAGGCACTTAAGGTATTATATTTTTTACAAGCTTGTATTCTGAGATTTATTTTCTTTTTGAATGAATATAGGTGAAAACCAAGATTGGCTTAAAATAGTGTGTGGCGAGGGAACTCCCATGTGAAGAGACGCCAAGGCATGAGTCTGTAGGATGCAGGTGTGATGGCTGCCAGTGTGGTGACTCTTTCACCAGAAGTGTGATTTGAATAGCAGACAGCTGATGTAAATAAATTATATTCTTCCTGACAAGAGGTTGTTACTGATCTGAGATTCACAAACTGCATATACAACAATTCTAGATCACATCTCAGCCGCTGAACATATAGCATTGCTATTGTAAGACTGATTATTGGTATGAGGGAATTACTTTTCACCCTTAAGTGTAGAATATGGCTTTAGTGTGATTCTTCAGTCACATTGCTCGTAACGAGAATATACGCTAGAGTTCTGCCCACATTTAACTGCTCTTACTTATAATTCTATAGTTTAATTTGCAAAACTGTTTGAAATCATCTGTATTTAGGTACAATGTATGGACACTGAATAATAACACATTTGAAAGAAAATCAGTGTGTTCTCTCTTGGTTCCTTAATGTGCTTTCCTTGGCTCATTAGTACTTGTTGAGCCTTCTTTTAAGGCGTGAATCCTGGTCCTTCAGGTCCTTTTAACCCGTTTGTAACACTGTTTCCTGAGAACATACACAGTGTAAAATCTCAAATAAGGCAAGATGCTTCTCCTGCAGAAAGCTAAATCTGTAGTTTTGTCATGTCCCAGGCACATGCAAGTGGGGCAGTTGGGAATTTTTCTTGTGTTGCTTTAACATAGCTAGACACACCTAAATGATGAAGCAACTCTGCTCATGTCATCTGGAGGCCACATTATGAAAGCCTTAAGAGTATTTGCAGTGTGAACTGCTTCACTTGAATCTCAGCAAGGGTTGTGACGCTGTTGTTTGGGTTTTTTGGTTGGGAGTTACTTTTTTTGTATGTTTTCAGGAGCTGCATCAGATGTCTCCCCTCTTCGTTGTCCCACCTCAGCTATAATAGGACTTGTAGCTGCTATAGCAGAGTAGTTAAATTGCTTGATACAAATTTTCATTTGGGGGGGCAGGAAAGCTTGCAAGCTGGCTCAACATTTTACTTGAGGAATGTAAGCAGTGTAAAACCTACATCTGTGCTGTATAAATGCAGTGGGTATATCTAGAAGTAAGGAGGGACGTAAACCTAAAATTAACAACATAAAGTAGACTTTTATTTTGCTAGTTTGAGACCAACACCATGTGGATGATATTAGGGTGCACATTGTCAGTCTGACTTCTGAACATCTGAATTGAACTATGAAGAGATCCTAGCAGTAGAGAGAGATGGGCCTTCCTGAACAAAGGTCCACTGACCTGTTTCTCTGAGTGACTATGAAGGGAGCCTAGAGTATCTAGCTTGACTAGAAGTGTTTTACTTCTGGGCAATTATAGATAGTTTTAATATTTAAAACCTCAAGTTCCACCTTGATTTTTAAAGGCTTTGTTAAAACAAATACTCTTACCTCTGATCATCTTTCTGTTTTCAGGACTTGATAGAAGAATAACTGGTTTATTTATTAAGATCACAAGTAAAATTTCTTACTAGAAGAAGTCCTCAAGACCTTCAGGCAGGGTTAATAAATTAATAAAACTGAATTGCAAACTGTATATCTCATCTTTCAGGAGCAGCGATTAAGAGAGATTTCTGTAGTATCAAATTCCACTTCCACGTCAGCATCCCCAAGCACCCTATCGGGAAAAAGTGTGAATACCACTGTAGCTGTTGACCTCTTTGCAGTACCAGCACCCACAACAAATAGGTGAGAGAGATTTTGCTTGGTAGCTCCACAATCAACAGCAAAGCACCGATCGTACTTATTTCTCAAGTACTTTTGAAGAATAACCTTTTGCTGATGCTTTCCTGGTGTATTCACAGGAATTTTGTTATCAGTCAATATGAAGTGCTGAATCGCTAGTCTTGTTCTGTACCACTATTACTGATGGGCTACTAGTGAACAGCAGAAAGTGAGATTGGTACAAGCATTCGTGTAATGCAAGAATTCAATGCCTATTACGTATATCTTCATGTTTCTCTCTCTTTCTTTCCTTATTAAGCATGCCCAACCTTTCCAGTGATCTTTTTGATCTTCAGCCTGCATTTGTTCCAACTGTGCAGAGTACTCCAGCTATATCAACATCAGCAAGCAGTGCTTGGGGAGGTGAGCTGATATGATGATTTGGCTGTCTAAATGATGGGTGGATTCTTAGAATACAAGAATAAACTGCAGATTCATACTTAATTGAATCTGCATTTTAAGCCTTAATTACTTTGCATCCAAACATTTCTGTCCTTGACAGAATATAAAATAAAACATCTGAAAGCTCTGGCAAACTGTTATAGAAAAGTTACTGTTGTTTTTTAACACATGGCAGTAGTGTCAATGTGCAGTGGGTAGAATGAAGGAGCTATTCAATAAAGGGGGTGGGTAGAAGAAATGTAACTAAAAATCAAAGTTTAAAAATGCTGGGAAATACAGACTAAGCAGATGTAACTGAAAAGGTGCTGGACTAGTATTTCCATTCCTTCAAGTGATATTTAACATACTTCTCATTTAAATGGTGTTGGTGACTTCAAACTCCTGATGACAAAGCTGTTTTTCCCAGTTTCTTGGGCACAGCATTCTCTGTACCCTCACCCACCCCTCAAAGGAATAATCAGGACAGATGTCACAGAAATGTCTTAAATGCTCAAATAAGGCAATGGTAACAGCGTTGTAAGTGTTGGTATTTTAATAGGTGGAATTGATAGCCTTGTGTGCTATTTGAAAGGTAGATTCTTGAAGCCAAAAATGTAGTGTCTAACTTTTTTGGTGAATGTTCTGTCATTCACTGGCAATACTAGAATTCTTTTCTCTAAAGAGAGGTGTTAGGAGTTTTATCTGAAACTAAGAATTTGTGTCTTTAATGGGCTGATCTCTAGGTGGAATACTTAGAGTTTAACTTTGCCTTGAGATTCTCGTATGCAATCATTTCAGTCTGTTTTTCTTTTCTGTTATTTGTACTCTGTATTCTTTCCTTCACTTCTGCATCTGAAAGGTCCTTTCTCGTCCTCAAATGGTTGTGTTGCTTCTCCACCTCATCTGGACATCTTTGACATGAAGCCAGTTGAAGAAGCTGTAAAAGCTACCACCCCTTTCATCAATTCTACTTTTTCCTCCAAACAAACAGTGGAACTGTTTAGTGGTAAAAACAAACAAACAAAATCCATGTAATTTCTTTGCAGCTGGAGATAATGCTAATGAACTGGGCAGTGTAATCTTTTTGTGGTTTGGACCAATCTTCACTTTTTAGTAACAAGTGAAAATGGGGCATTAATTGCAGATGTAGTAAATTGTTTCCTTAAAGTTTTATTTCTACAGTTAAAACAGCTCATTATTTTGTTCAGCTTGCCCAGCCTAGACGTCCTAAGACTTGCAATGTTGCTAGAGTTTTTGCTGATTTCTTTCAAACTGTAACCTCCTTTCTCTTTAATGGGGAATGCAGGAGTTAGTTGAATTTTCTTCAAATTTGCTTAATTAAAAAAAAGGTCCTTGTTTTTACTAGAAATTCTTAATTTTTAACTGCAGAATTAATTTTTAGGTCCCCCTTCCTTTTTCTCTTTTAAACTGATCTTATTTTCTTTCCTCTTTATGAAGATGACTTTAGTGGTCATAAATCTACATATGCTTCTGTGTATCATCCTCTGACTGTTGATGGTAATTTGATTTTTTTTTTTTTTTTTTAACTTTCTGGTGTGTCACTGTATTAACTGGTATTACTCAATGAGTGTATTTGATTACCCTAAATTTTCTTTTCAGGTTTTCCTCTCCATTCAGCTCCTCCAAGTACCACCGCTTCAACAATTAATGTGGACTTTGATGCTGTTTTTGGAGGAAAATCTACAGCACCGGAGTACAGGACTACAAGCGGTAAAAACTAGTTTGACTGATATACACCCTACAGGCAACAGTTGCTTAACAATTTAGCATAATTGCTATTGCCGTTCAAAATTTCATAACTGAATATATTTGCAAGGTGATTATAGGACTGATAAGACAACAGGCAATCAGTTCAGTTGTAGTTATTTGCTTCAAATTTCGCTTTAATCTCATATACTGTCTAATAAGTTTCCTCTCTTTTTGGGGGACTGAACCTTGAACGTGGCCCACTGGATGTCTATTAACGGGTAAGCTTGTGTTTATCTGTTTTCAGTGCTTATGACTTTAGTGTTTTCTCTTGATACGTGGTAATGAGCTCCTTCTAACTTCAGTGAGAGGTGTTGTACTTAAAATGCAAGACTAGTTGTATGTGTGTTGCTTGAAGAACAGCCGAGTTATGATGTTTCTCTTGGTGCTATTTCAGTATGTATTCTAAGTCCTTACGAACTTATGGCAAAGGAACTTTTTGTGTACATTAGGATACTAGCAGTTTCATGAAATTACTGGTATATTGTGTTACAAGAACACTTTGAAAATATCTTCGACAACCTTCTTCCTTCTTCAGTTTTAGGGGAGATACATCTTAATTTAAAAATACCATCAGTTACTACTGAAGCAAAATTAAAGATTCTACTAGATTAGTAGCTGCAATGTAGTATTCCATTAAGAAAAATAAGAGGTTAAATGATGTTTCTGTCTAAGCCATAAACGCTTCCAGCATGTTGAACCTCCACATATAAATACTCAAATTACTTAGTGTTCTATAAACAAAATACCTCTCTGGCTTATGGATGTCTTTTATTAAATGCAATGTAACTGTTTTGTCAACAGTTGCTTTTATGTTTTTTATTTAGCTTGTAACTTTCTAGATGATGTGTTGCAACCCACAGTACCACCACAAAGTCAAAGAGCCACTTCAGCCAACCAGCAAAGTGGAAAAATTTTGGCAAATGACCTCGATTCTTCACTTGCTAATCTAGTGGGAAGTAAGCGTGAAGCTTTTAAATTTGACTTTACTTTTCGTTACTGAAAACAAACCAAGCTTTTTTTTTTCCCCAAAAAAATTAAAATTACTTATGTATTTTGTCACCAAAAAGTAAGTGCACATATGTACTTATAATGTGCTTACGTGACTGTTTCGTCGTCTCTGGCATAGTTTATCAGCACTGACATGGCAAGAGTCTCAACTCTTGAAAGTAGTCTGCTGCCAAGCACAGTACTGAAACAGTGAGTTTGTGGTCAGTCACCATAACATGGTCGACCTTGACTTTTGAAGCAATTCATTTTAGTTTTGCAGCTGCTGTATTTTTACGAAACACCATAAAAGTTCTTGTAGTTACAGAAAACTCCAGTTAATCGTTATGCTGTGCAGTGCAGTAATGATAGTTTACTTTCAACACAAAACAGAACACCCAGACTTCATACATACTGGAACAGAGATATCTAAGTAGTTACTGAAATCCTGAGTGTTTCTTCCCCCCATATATTTCAGCTGTGTGCATGTAGTAAGGCTTGTTTTGGTTTTCCGTTATGTTGTTACTTTAGCTGTTGAGTCCCTGTGAAAACTAATACCACAGTTTCATTTTAGATCGGATATGCAGTGGACCCAGCCTACAGAGAAGAAACTTACTGGTGGAACAAACTGGCAAGCAAAAACAAGCACATCGACTACGTGGAACCCTACTCCCTTACCCCCTATTCCACATATGGTAATTTCTGTACTATTGAAATCATGCTTCATTCTTGCAAATGCTAATTCCCTGCTTGAATTGACTTCAAAAGAATAGCAAAGGCTGTCTGGGACAAGACTAGGGGCAGAGGGGAATGCTTGTAGGATAACTTCTCAGACTGAGGTAGAGATTTTAGAATGCTTTATTTCCTCTCACTGTAAAACTTGTCTGTTAAAGATTTAAATAATTGTCCTTTCACTTGAGCTGTGTCTCAATTCATAAGTTGGTTTTTTTTTTTCTGAATTGAAACAAATGACCCCAAACCAGAAAATTTCTGATGTGCATGTTATATGCTCTTCCCCCCCACCCCCCAGCACCTTTAAGAATTGTAAGAATATGTTTCAAGGGCAAAACTTCTGTTCCTTCCAGTTTTCACTCCATTTTCAGTTTTGTCACACGAAATGCTGCTGCAACCCCTGCAAGGCACCTTAATTATCGGGTCAAGTAGCACTTTGGATTTCTGATAATGCTCAACGGCAACTTCATGATTTTAACACAGTACAAAATACTAAGCGGAAGTTTTATAGTTATTTAAATAAAGAATTTTCTCATAGGCAACTGACTTTTCCTATGCCTAAAAGAGATTTTTCAAGTATCTTCTATTCATGTATATTCATACAAATACAGACCACTCCTGAAATCTAGCTGCCTTGGAGGGAAGTAGAATGTTTGTCTTGGTTATATGTATAACTAGGTTAGTTGCCATATTTGCTATGAGTTTTGGTCTGCTGTCTGACTTCATTTTTCACTAAGAATGGCTTTGCCTGTAATGCTTGTTTTCCTCATCTTACATGAGTGTGCTCATTCCAGATTATCAAAATTGAATAGAATATTAAATCCAGTATTGGACTCAAACAAAACTCCAAAGTTCCAATGATAGAATGTCTCAGTTGTATAGCACTATTACGTGAGGCTTCTGAGACCATAATATCTTTTTATCCCCTCTCAGTGCTCCAGAATATGTTGTTAGAGTGCTGATGCATTCTTACTTTTGAAGGATAGAGGGCACCTTAGCACGCATTGATCACTGTGGATTTGGGTTGTGGTTGTGTGTTTTTTATTTCATGGGTTCATGCTTAATACTTTCTGGTCTAAGCATTTGAATGCTTTATACCAGATATCTGCTCACTTATTTGATTGGGATTCCAGCAGTTAATGATACAAATAACTAGCTCAGCTGTGAGAATCTTTAAAATCAGTGCCCCAGTACTGGAAAGGTCTAACTGTCCCGGCTTGGTCTGTGACATTGAGTGCTTACCCTCCAATTCGTGTACAGTCTGCATACTCTTTTGCAGTGAAGTATTTTAATTAGCACTCCATTTTTTAATATGATTAGCACTACTTAACAATGCACGGCAATATGAAGTGCATGCATCACTGTGCCTATGAACATAACCTGCTAGAAGTTAGTACTGGCTTAAGATGCTCTTCATTTTTCTTTTTTCATATTGTGATATGTTGTAGACATCAGAAATTAGCAACATTTACTTGACTAAACGTCATTGCTGTTTGTTTCCTAAGATGAATGATCACTGGCTTCCTTGTTCTTTTCTATGCCCTTCTCACATATAATGGGAGGAAGAAGGAATATTGCATGCCATGCCCTCTAAAAGCTTATCACACAAATGTTTGTGCAAGCAGCATACTCGAATCTAGCTAGATTTAGTAAAATTGCTATTTTTGATGCAAGTCTTACCAGCAATAGCTTTCTAGGCAGGGACCCTGCTCAAGTTAACAGGCATAGTTACTGTCCTTGCACTTTTTTCCTCTCACTTTAATTGTTTTAATAAATGAGTTGAGCATAGTTACAGACAGTTAGTCTTGAATCCATCCCTTGGTTAGAGTTTCCAGTTCGAATAAGTCTTCAATAATTTTCTGTCCTTACTCCTTTTGCTGTGCCAGAATGGAGTACACTATCCTGGATATGTAAGTCAATTTCTTGTAAATACATTGGTTATTTTAAGTATTGAAAAACATGTATTTTTCACTGTTTTATATATGTTACCAGCATGCATGAGCTTATCTAAAATACATTAAAATTGTCTTGATTGAAGGTACCTGCTCCTATCACGTACCCAGTGACCACACCTCAAGTGCCTGTATATGGAATGGTAAGAAATAAGATTGTCTTGCATTCCTGAAAAACCTGGTTGTTTCCTCCAGTGGGTTTCATGGCAGGCATTATTATGCTCAGATCATCCTGCAGCTTACCTGTGTTCTTTCATAAGGTCGATAGTGTGAGAGATCTGATAGCTTTTTCACACTGTGCATTGGAAGACTTTGCTCTAAATTATATACAGCAAGTTTTTTAGAAGCTTTAACTTGTATGTGCACGTGTGTCTATATGCTTATTTTCCACTATACTTAGAATGCAAAAAAATGATAATCTAGAATTAATTTGAATTTTATATACTGGTTTTGTCGGGCTTTTGTTTTTCTACAGGTACCTCCTCAGATTGGAGCTGCTCCTTTGATGGCACCCCAGTCAATGATGTATACACAGCCTGGTCTAAGGCCAACAAACCCTTTTGCACCTGTTTCTGAAACTCAGGTGAACTGTGTTCTTCAGTCTTGAGATCCCATTGAAACTTTGGTCTTGGTAAAAATAACCAAATGTTTCATGAAGGGCTACTAATGTATGTCTGTGTTTGAAAGTGAGGAGTTCCTCAGGCAATGGCAGCAGCTAGTGCTGGCGAGGAAGCGAATTCAGATAGTGAGACCATGCAAACGTAGGAAGCAAGGAAGAAAGGAAAAATTGGAGACTTAATGGCTACCTTATTACTGTGCCAATATTAAGAAAATGGAAGTGGTGGAGATGTGTAGGACTTAGACTCCCAGGACATTAGCTGGGTGCTTGGTTTAGTCACGCTGACTAGAGCAGTCGTGAAAGCTTTCTGAAGGATCAGGTGCTGGGGAGGTGAAAAAGGCATGGACAACAGATCGTTCGAGTAGAGGAAACTGTGTACCCCTGTCGTCCAAATATATTGGTCTGTATGTTCTTTGGGGATTTTTTTAACATGCCAAAACCTGTAGTCTTATCTTGCAAGTAACAAGGCAGTTGAATAGATTCCTAAGTCTGAAACATGGAGAAACATGTGTTGTGTAAGTGGCATTAATATGTAGTCTCTCCTTCACAGATACAATTTATGTAGAGCCGCCAAAGCAGCAAGATGTGAGAACAACCAAATACTGGTAAAAAAAGAAAAGACTGAATTTTGATCTTTCCATGATGTATTCCTGAACAGGGCAACTGTTTCTTCCCTGTATAATAGAACATTATTTTGAATTTCAATGCTCAAGAGATTCTTGTTTATAACAGTCACTGCAGTGCGAAGTCATGTTTGTTCACTGATTTTTTTTTTTTTTTTAAACTGCTCAGCAAAAAACTGTGTGTTAAGGTTGACTCAGAAGGTGCAGGCTGGATTATCATCTTCGAAGCTGAGAAGAGGGGTTACATGATTGCTCCGCAACCTTACTCGTCAGTGGATTACCTTAGGAAGTTAACTGAGGATGTCAAAGCTATTTATTTTCTCCACAAATTCCGTGGCTGTTTTAACCAAGACACAACACAAATGAAGTTGAGCAATAAAATTATGTGCTCTAATAAATACTCTGATAGAGCAATGCTTGTATTATCGTAAGGCAAATATTATGGGAAATCAGACAGCTTTTCAGATTACAATAGTTTATAGTAATTAGCAAACTTTATAATGTGAGTTTGAAATGCTGTGAATCAACAAAATAAATACATATTACGTACATATATATATATATATAGTAAAAATAATAAATTGCTCCATTGGTATGTCAGTGTTACGTGCCTAGTTGAAAGAGCTAGGCTCTGATATGGGCTGAAGGTCTCAGGTGGAGTCGGGGAAACAAGCGTGCTGGAGAACAGCGTGTGCAGCCTCCGACGGGTGACAGGAGCTGCACTGCCATCGAGTAGCTTCTCTGCAGGTCACGTCTGTCGCAGCTCGAGGAAGAGTAGCTTTGGGAGCAGTTTGAAAATCTGGTTGCTAACTGCAGAACAGGCAAGAAATCCAATTTTTTTTTTTCTTTTTTTTTTTAAAGGCCATTAGGTCAAAAGAACCAAACCTTGCAATAGTGCTGACACTTGTGAACTGGCAACTGTATTGAAATTATCCAGCTGTAGAGAATAGCTTGTGCTGCTTTTCTGAAATAAGAACCTAGTTGTAAACCATATAAAAGTAATTATTTTTAAACATGTAAATATGTGCAGACTTTTAGATAATCTTTTCTTTAATGCTGCAGTAATCTTTGTCTTCTGTAGTAATTTCAAGATAAAAATGCAATGTTAAGAAGTCGGACTCTTTTTGAGAGGAGAATCTTTTAAATGAACTAATTTATGAAGTATGCTGTTCATGATGGGTCAGATGTGTACAGATTTTTGGCATGTCTTTTGTATTTAACAATCTTCCTCCAAAACAGAAATCGGCTATGAAAATGCCTTACCTTGTATTTTTCAGTGTCTGATAAAAAGCGATAGCATTAAAAAAAAAAAAAGTTAATAACGAGTAAATGGGATTGGAGCAACCTTTCTTCCAGAAGTTTTGGGGCAGAATACAATGAAAAGCTCTCCTGTAAAATGACTTCTTCTAATGATTAATATTAAAGCTGAGTTTTCAAAAAATGAAATAGTTTCCTATTGTTGCAATAAATAGACCTCCAGAGTAGCATGTCTCTTATCTTTTGGGGAGTCTATAATTGCAGAAATATCTCTGACTGTCACTGTAAATGCAAATAGGCCTGAGAATCTTGTCACTGTCCTGTAGAGAACTTCTAAAATACAGCACTTTCCTCATAGTGGGAATAAACCTTCTCCTTCTCTAAATGCTTCATTCTGTCCAGAGATTGCAAAAGTAGTATTACTTAACCCTATTGAAATATTTTTGCCAAGTGAAACAACTCAAAAGAAACAAAATTTAAAAAAGCAAGCCCCCAACCCGTGGAATCTGTAACCACTGACTTCCTGGGAAATGCAAGCTTGCAAAAATTTAAAACTCGGAGTTCCTGAATGTGTATTGTTGGTGGTTTTTTTTTTTTTTTTTAAAGAATTTGGACTGGTATAGAGCAATTCAATGTTCAGGTTTGAATTACAAAGGGCTTCAAGCTTTAATCCACCAGTATTGGGTTGAACAATTGTACAATTTTAAGCCAGTGAGTTCTTCGGTGCCTATAGTTGCCCTCTGCGTGATGAGGGAATAGATGCCATTTAGATGGGGTCATTGTGTTGAGGGGACTGTTTATTTAAGAAATAGTGAATTCCATTGATTTTATTCAGCATTGAAAGGTCTCAAGTTCAAATTGGACCAGTACACGTAGTAATAAATGTCTGGGCATTAATGACAGAGCTGAGAGAGCTACAGGCAGGCAGTTTCTAGCAGTGTAAGCTGCGGGTCTTTCTCATACTGAGTTGTGTAAGTAATAATCAGTTATTTTAATAAAATATGCAAATAAATGCCTGGCAAACAGTATAGATTTGTTACAACTATTGCAGAGCATTCTGAATATCTGGAATGTATGGATTTAGTACTAGGTATAGTTTGTGCTACTTCTGGTTTGCTCTGGATTTTTTAATGGTTCTTTGGTATGCTTTCTTGTAGCAAAGCTGTCTGATACCATTTTAGTATTAAAAAACGAGAAACAGCCACAAAGTACATCCTAAAAACTTTATAAGCTACCTTCTTTTTAGTCTGGTTCAGAGTGTTTGGTCCATTAAAACACGGCTTTCAGATTTATCCTGATGAAGAAAAGATTGCTTTGCACGCTTCTCTGCGCGGACATGCACGGGACTGCTTGTTGCCAGCCTCTGCCTCGGGTGCCTGTCGGGCGCATAAAACAGCAGAGTGCGGCGTTTCGAGTAACAGAGTTTGTGCTTCAGAAGGAAAAACCAGGGACTTCGGATGCTGTCACGGCTTTTACGGCTCGAAACTCGTTCTGCAAAACACCGCTCTGAAGACAAAGACTGTTCTTGAGGGTACCTGTAGTAGCCCGCGAGAGTTGTGAGGAGTGGTGGTGCCGAGCGAAACCCGAGAGAGATGTATATAAATGTGACTTTCATCTCCTTCCACCTCGTTGGATCGGAGTCCTGTTCTGAATACTTCAGAAAGCAGATAACTAAGAAGCTGCTCCATGCTTGTTGAACGAGGAGGACTCGCAGCGCGCTGTGTGCTTTGCGTTCTTGTCCTGCAGGGGGTTGTTCCAGGGACTTCGCGCTGCGGCGGGGAGGTGCCTGAAGGTGACTTGGGGGGGGATCTGGAGAGGTTGGTTGTGTCGGGCCTGAGACTGCACCTCTGTTTAAGTGACCAGGGTTTGCTAATGACACAGTCTGACTTGGCCTCTGAGAAGCCATGGAGATTTTTTTTCCTTTTTAATTTTGGACACATGTACTAGAGAAGTCTTAAGTTCTCCGCATGCAGCGGTGGAATAGTAGGTAAAAATAACAAGTGGACCTTTGTTTGAAACAAAACCAACCAACACACACACAGACACCAACAAAGAGACTTCTGACTGCAGGACTGAATACAGGGTGTATCCCCATCGGGGTTTTTTGACCTCTGGCAGGGAGGGTGGGGTTACAATTAGAATAGTACGCACTGTGGATCAGTGCTTAATTTGTACATAAAAAGGAAAACTTTGTTTTGGTTAGTTTGTATTGTAAGGACAACATCTAAAGGCACTGTGTATCAGTCATTTATTTCCATTTAAAAGATTATATTTTTGAGCAATGGAAGCTGTACGTGATGTTATCATTTATACATTACTGGTAGCTAGGACTATAGAAAACCTGTTGCTATTACTCTGAAGATGTATTTGACTTATTGATATATAACTTGCTGCATCACTACTTTACGCAGATTCTCATGATCGTTTATTTAAAGAGATTGTAGTAACTGGGACAGTTACACCAGGAGTTGTACCAGCAGCTCTTTCAGTCCATCTCAAACACATATCTTCGTGAGCGGGTTTCATCCTTTTCTGAATATTTGGCTGGAATTTCGTCTTGGAGCGATGACAGAGCAGGTGCTGGAACAGATTTCCCTCACCCCAACCCCGACTTTACATTATTTATTTCATAGGTCTTGTTTTGTATGTGATGTTTTTCCCCATGACAGGTTATTGCCTTTTATTGGATATTTATTGAAAAGGAGGGACTCTGAGTTGGGCTGTTGAGGATTTTTTTTTCGGATGTGTTCTTGTACAGCTGTTCCCATACTGGAGTTCCTTTTATAAGAACACAGAAGCTGTGGGAAATCCCCAAGCCACAAACCGGAACAAAATCCCCAGGGTTTGCGTTCGGTGAATGAACAATTTTTTAAAAGCTGCCGAAGCACAAGACCGGCCCTGTCGATATTTTAATTGTGGAACTTTGCACCCTGTTAATACGCAAACTGTTTGGTTTTTTTAAAAACTGCTCCTTCCCCGTTATTGGAGGAAACGAGCTTTGGAGAAAAAATAAAAATAAACTTTGGCAGAGGCGCGGTGCGGGTGTGCGCGTGATCCTTCCTGGGGGGGGCTCGGGCCTTGCTCTGCGCCGGAGGCCAGGGGCGGGCTGTGCCTCTGCTGCCTTGGCTGGGCACTTGCGGGCGGGAGGGGGT